GATGGATGGACGGACGGACGAAATATTCTAGTTGCAACTTTATTATTTTCATGTCTTATAACAAACTCCCAGAGAGGGTTTAGTTTCCTGCAAATGGATCATTAATTTGAAATGTTACACCAGCTTTCACAGACTTGATGATGTAAAAGGCCATCTGAAAGTGATGAGGAGCAGAAGGACGAAGAAGAAAAAGTGAATTTTTGACTGCCCCATGAGGCGTTTTAGTTAAACCGCCACACCCTTTTCATGTACACACTTTTGTCTCACACACCGTGTGCGCTGCCACATTTTCCTCGACTGCCCTTTCTGGTTTCCATTTTTAATAATAACCACATGCTATTATTTACATTAATGACTAATTGCTTTAAGAACAGAACACCCCAAAAATGACAAAACTCAAACATTTGCTGGTAAACCGCACATCGTTTCTACGGATTTTTGTTTGAAAAAAATTTAAAAACTAAAACTCCACCTCCCCCCAACCCTGGCCCAATTCTCTTGTCTCATATTGTACACTAAGTATTTTGTGTCCCTCTGTATATTCGAGCTCAATTATGTAATTTAGCACTCGTGTGTGTGTGTGTGTGTGTGTGTGTGTGCGTGTTTGTAACCATGGCAACAGCACAACATATCGGCGACCGCAGAACGGCAGTGGGGCCACGGGCACAGCCACGGTTGTGCCAAAAACTAATCCATGCCAGAGGTGACATGAGCACAGGAAGAGCAAAGCAGGAGATGGCATGGCGCACACATGCACATACAAATAACACACACACATACACACACACCAGCATATTCCTCTCCTCTCACTCCTCGCCTTCCTTTTAAAACAGTGGATATCCTCCCATTCTTCTTGGCTGGAGCCTCCCATGGCAATATCAGTAGGAATCCATTCTCCACGGATGCTGGGACAGCTGTGCCGATACTGAATAGGACGCAGTTGGTTCTGCCTCTCTCTCTCGCTGCATGCGGCTGCAGATAAAAACAACTACATGCTGCTTAATTCAAATCTAGATCGCCCGCTGCCAAGATGCGCCCAGCTCATCTCATCTTTGTCTCCTCCACCGAAGACAGCTCTAAATGTCTTTGCAAAAATGAAGAAAGAAACACAACTGTGCTGTAAATTTCCTGCTGCTGACACATGGTGGCCTCAAGTCACCAGCTGACAATAAACGCACATGATTTACGACAGACAAAGGCATTAATCACAAAAACCTTCATCATAGGCTTTTCAGTTGTATGCTTAGAAAGACAGAGTGCAAATAAGTCACAACATGCTACCAGTTCTGGAGATGTGAAAACAACAAGAGCCCACATTTGAGGCTGGGGGTGCTTTTCAGGGGTACACCTTCGTATTAGGCTGGAAGGTGCCAATGAACGCAAGACCCGATCCCTCAAAATGCCACTTTATAAAGTAGCTATGCATTAATTCTTTGGCTAGATTGGCATGATGACCCCAATATGACTTCATAAACCAAGTGCCTCAGGCAATCAGGCCCTGTGAATTAAATTGCATGACTTTGCCCAGTGAAACCACATCAGATCAGGCCTGCCCATCAATCAAACACACTATGAGTTCATTCCCCAGAAGAAAGGCCCAACGCAGAGTGCTTTACTGGCCCCCGCATCACTTTTTCCTTACAAATATTCACAGTTTGAACTAGAACTGAATATGTAAACTCAAGCTAAGTGAACCAGAACCCACAGTGACACAATATATTTGTATATATGAAAAATGTAATATATACGGAAAATGTAATACTAGCAGTCGAAACAATCCCAAAAGTGACTCAGTGGATGGTTTTTAATGTGAAACCAAAACGCAAAGTGATCGTTCAAAGGACTGTAACTGGCATGGCATAATAAGAAGGCTAAAAGCCAAAAAAGAATGTGTGTATAATTCATATATGTATAATTTTTGCTGTACACAGCAGTACCATTAGAATTTTTTAATCTTCTGAACAGCTGTTACAAATCAAGCCATGGGAAGAGGCGGGTAGAGACAACATGGTGTGTGTGGAGAAGGAGAAGGGGGGTGGGGGGGTTAGTCTCCAAATATGTGCAAAGTTAGTGCTTCAAAATCCAGATATGGATGACGTTCATTTAATCAGATCTCCACATAAAACAAACTGACTGGTGATTTACCACTCTGAATTCAGCTTTGATGTTTTCATTTAAGGCGCTGCTCCATAAAATCACAAGATTACAGCTGATGGTGATATATGGAAAAAAAACAGATTGCTTCTTAGAGAAACAAATGGTTTAATGAAGAAAAATATACAAAACACAATTAGGTATCCATGTGACAATAAGTCTGCACTATAAATAGTTTGAATTGTTAGGGACAAGTAGGGTTATACCATGTGAACTAAGACTTGGACCATCCCTACGAACATACAACGTACTTTGTACAACGTAATCATGCATTATAAGATATAACAAGCTTGGTAGAATCTTTTACTGGGATTTCAGACCTTCCTTTACTAAACTGTGCCAACGCTTAGCCTTGCTGTTACTTCATCCTCCCACTGTCAGTCCCTTGTACTGTTAATGGAAAATCCCCAATTCCTCCCTGAGTGTTCCAGCCACAAGCCAAGAACATTCAGTAGAAGTAACACGGTAATGCTCTACTTTAACCACTTTTTACTTTTACTTTCAAAGTGTTGTCATTGATTTTTAGAAGCTTCTGAAGGTGAATGCGGAAATTGCTAATTTTCCTACTAGCTAACTAGCCCAGTCCCGTCTTCTTTCCAAATATTTCTGAACTATAGAGTTGCTATTGAACCGTGGTTCCCCTTGCCAATGACTCCCAAAGTTTTCACCTTCAATCCCCACAAAGAATGTGTTTTAGAAGTACGTGACTCAAACTATTGCTAGCTGAAGCAAAAATCCATTCATTATAAGCCAAACAAACAAAAGTATATTATAAAACAACAATAATAAACATCCATCCGTTATGGTTACCCACTTCTTCTTTTTCGGGTCGCGGGGGGTCACTGGCGCTCATATCCAGCTACCACTGTGCGAGATGGGAGGGACACCATGGACATGTCTCCAGTCCATCACAGGGACACATAGAGGCAAAAGAGACAAACAACCATTCACTCTCTCACTCACACCTAGGGACAATTTAGAGTTACCAATCAGTCTAACATGCATGTTTTTGGTCTGTGGGAGGAAACTGGAGTACCCGGAGAAAACCCACGCATGCACAGAGAGAACATGCAAACTCCATCCAGAAAGATCCCAGGCCAGGATTCGAACCAGTAATCTTCTCACCGAGAGGCAACAGCTCTACCAACTGCACCACCGTGCCACCATAATAACCATTTTCCTCAATTAATTTGACTGTTTTGATCTCTTGCAACAACAACAATAGAACAAAAACATTACTCTCAATCATTTACACCCCCCCCACACACACACACACACACACACATACACACACTTAGTTTGTTGTAACCTAAAATAGAGACTTAAACATAGCTTCTTCATGCCCCAGCCAAAAAAAAATTTAATTTAAATGAAATGAACTGTTTGGTTACTAAGGTTAATTTATACATATTAAAGCTTCTATGTTCCATTGAAGATCAAATGTTATTGTAATTAACAACTTAGCACTCATCGACTTTAACAAAGATTCAGTCTAAAGTTGCATTTACACTACACTGGCTATTCTTTAAACAAATATTTTCTGTTCATTTATATATTCTTATCTTCATCTACAAGACAAAGGTTTGTAGGCCCAATCAAGATTCTAATAAAAACACTGAAACACCCATATCGTGCCACTAGGTGGTGACAAAGTTCACATTAACAACAGATCAAAATGCAAAGAAAAACATGCTAAAGAGTTTCCACAAATATATGTACCTCCTGTTGTTTACTCGGCTTTATTTGAATTGTTTACGAATCGTTTCCGCGCGCAATCAAAGTTTACAGACGACCGGACCAGGATAAAGTGAGACAGACGGGAAAAACTTTAAAAAAAAAACCAGTATGAACAGCTCCACTGTTGTTGTGGTTTCTAGAGCACAAAGTGAGAATATGGATGAACTAAACAGGCAGCTAAGTTGTGTGTTTTTTTAAGATTCAGTATCTTGAGCCCAAACATTAAAATCAAAAACTAAGAATTTAATATTTTTAAATTGTTTTGAAATCAACTCAATTTGCATAAAATTTTTTAAAAAAAAGAAAAACGCAGCACAAATTCAACAATGTAATATTCAGAGTGGGCAAACCTACGCCGGCCTAAGACCCCTGACACCGCAACCTTGTTAAACGAGGGGAACGCGATCATTTAGACGCCTTTTTATTTTTTAAATGGACAAAATTACTATTGTACTTATAAAACTATTACGCGATCTCATCCTTTAGAAATGAAGCACGGACCTGCAGCGCTGCTGTTTGGTTCGAACATCTGGATGTGGAATATTCTGTAGCTCTGCTCTTGTTTTTACAGCAGTTTTACAGAATATTTTGTTCGTACCAGTTTATTTCTTTTATTTGTATGCGTGTTTAATGCCTATTAAATTGTTATAAAAATGCAATGTATTATAATCCATATAGAAAGCGGATAATATATTAAAACGACCCAAGTATTCTAAACTTTAGCAAAAAAAAAAGTCACGCGTATTTGACCCGGCTACAATCCCCATCCTATAAACTGCACCCCGACAGTCTCACGAGGCAGGAAAGGGGCGACGCTTAAAATATATAAAAAGAGGAATTGTTTGACCCGTTGCTCTGATTGTCCACGGTGCACATGTCAGAGCTGACTGCTGTCTTCTGCTAACACTAAAACATTTTAAAACCACATTAAAAAACAAAACATTACAATAAATCTGAGGGCAAGTGTCTTCCTCACTCTCTGCTGCACGATTTATATGTAGGTCAGCGTGTGTGTCCCTGCAGGAGCGCCGTCAAAGACTAATAAGAATAAAATGATGATGAAAATTAAAATAACACACACACCTAATGTTGAATAAATGGGGACTTACCACTAAGGCATTGTTTAGAAGGTGAGTGGGGTAATACTTTAGCGTGTTAAGAGGCGAGGAGAGCAGGGGTCAGCGTCCAGGCGGGCAGAGAGGAGGAGGGGGGAGGCAGAGGGAAGGAATACGTTAAAACGTCGCACCAGAAAACAGAAACCAGTCTCAACATTAAGAGGTGCATGAAGATCTAAATACATGGACAAATGCAATGACACCCCCCCAAAAAATAAAGTTTTATTTTTTTATATGCAAGTTTGTGAAAGTGGTTTTGGCCTGCTGGACACAAACGCTGACGTCTGAGCGAAGGAAACAAACCCAACAAACAAGAGGCACAAACTGGCGTTACTTATCACGAGTGCAGGGTGGAAACGATGTGTGAAGTCTATAAATTTGTAGATTTAAAAAAACAGAAGTAAATAAGTTATCTATGGCTGCGATCCTGTAACAACCAGATATAGAGTTTGATTAAAGACGTGAAAACAGCACATGAACACACACCTCTCCTCCCTTAAATCTGCTGCTGCGACGTCTCCCACGTCAGTCCCTGCAGGACTTCCACTCAGTGGGAAACTCTGTCGCAGCTAATAAACCACCCAACTGTTTGCAAATGTCGCCGTACCCCGGTGTCCAGGAACCACTTTATGTTTTCTGAATTATGAACCGCGAGGAAACAAACGGCATGCGCAAAAACGTTCCATCTGCAGACGGAGCTGCAGAGTGTGTGGCATAAAAAGTTGGCTCGCCACACACTCAGGTGCTTTTTTTAAAAACAAAAATAAAGAAAATAAGAGTTTACAGCGTGAAGAATTATTCGTCCTGCAGAAATAGATCGTTTTTACATCCACCCGCACAGAAAATTGTGCACTACAATGTTTGTGTGAGACTAATTTATTTGAACTACAGGATAACTACTTCCTAAAAAAATAAAAATGCAGGTGTTGTGTGAATTACATGGTTGTTTTATCTTTAATTTAAAGTTGTACCAATTATAAGAGCAACTAATTTCAACATAACTGCCTTGCTATTTCTTTTACTAGATAAATATTGTCCCAAAGGGCTTTCCGTACCTGCATATTACTCCTGAGGAGGTGCTTATTCTAACTAACATTTTGCAGCTCAATCCATTGCCACCCATAAATTAATCAGTGCAAAGTTTCAAATAATTATCTTTTTTTTTTTAAACAACCACATTTAGTGGTAAACTATAAGAAAAAATAGTTGATTTTGCTGAAGTTGTATCTGCTGTGACATAAAATCAGACATTTGTCTGGGTTAAGAATCCAGTTTGCAGCCGATACAAGAGCTAAAATCATTGAATATTAAAAAAAAAAGAAATTAAAAACAGCATAAACTTTGTGTTCTGTCTCAGCTTACAGCACATTAAGAGCCTTTTCATTAAAACAAAGTATGAAACGATTAAAACTCCTTTCCTGGTGCCAATAAGCGAATGAACATTATGATCCAAGCTGCTCATGTCCTCACACAAAAACCAGACGTGGCTCGTGCCCGAGCGAAGAGGAGCTGAGGAGGACATCCCTCCAGCCTCTGGCAGCAGAGTCGTCACACGGTGGGAGGACGAGTCCTTTTTAATAAACCCGCTGCAAAAGGCAGGGATGGATTACAGGAGGACACTGGCGGTCCGAGGGGTAAACACGTCTAAGTTACACGAGGACGAGGGCTGCGGCAGCTGGGGAACAGAGGAAGACTGTCTTACAACACCGAGCTGAACGTCACATTTCATTTGGCTTTGAAAATCTGGAAGGTGCACAGTTCCCTACAAAGTCCAGATTAAAAGAGCAAAAGAAAAGCTACTTTTTAACGACTGAAATTATGCATGAAGCCGAACCGAAAGGCTTTTTATTACGAGTTTGCTCCATCCGCTGAAAATTCCTACAAAGAATTCAGAATCAATTTGGCCTAAAATGTTTTGATTTAGAAAAGCAAAAAAAAAAAAATATATATGTACAAAAACATGAAGTAAAAGACCTAATATTTATCAAGTGTATTGTCAGAAATGACTCACACACACACACAATTAATATACCTTCAAAACAACAAATAGGAAATACAAACTGTGGAGAGTATGATGCTTTTTTTAATTATTTTACATGAACAAGAGATTAAAAAAACTCACACAAGCTTTAAACTTGCAGCAGAATGTTAAAATATTCTTGTTTCACTAAAGGGGGTGTTATTTATAATTTTTAACATAGTGCAATAAAAGCAAGTCAAACTGTAAAAAGAACAAGGCGCCTGTGAACTCAACGTGTTGCATTCAAGTACAATAAATAAACTAGAGCTACGGGGGAAGCGCCATCAGTGTGTACGGAGTGTACGTTTTACAATTTACACTGTTCTTCTCCGTTTATTACACACACGCACACACGCGCGCGCACACCAGCTCTCCCGGTGTTCGTCCCGCACGAAAGCGGCCCTCAAACGGCCGTGCGCGCGCTGCTTACCACCCGCTAAAAGGAGACAAATACAAGAGAAGAAGAAAAACCAAAGAAGAAGAAGAGCGGTCCTCCAGCTCGAGCCTGGCCGAGCAGGAACCTCCTAACGGCGGTCACATTCAACCGTCCTCCTCCCTCCAGTCCCGCGGGCTCGCCTCCTACACCCCCCTCCCTCCAACACCCCCCTCCACCCCCTCCGCTTTAGGAAAATATGAAATACATTTGGAGAGAAGCGCCATTTTCTCTCCCCAGGAAAAAAAAAAAAAAGCCGTGCGGAAAGTTTCCCGCGGCGACGTGACGGGACGAGCCGAACTTTTCTGAGCAAACTAGCAAAAAGCTGCGGAGAAAAACACTGACGGTGCAGGCGCGGCGGTAACCGTAACTAATAATACCGGAGCCGCGGCAGAAACAAGAGGAGGTAGTTTACCTGTGTCAGGCAGTACGGGGAGTACATTTCAGCGGGGAGGACCGGAGAGCTCGGTGAAGTTGGATGGGAGCTCGGTACAGTGCCGCATTGCAAGCGCGCGTGCTGCTCCCTCCACGCTGCAGCTTACTGTAACCCCGCCTAGAAAGTGAAAGCTCGCACAAACTTTCAGGAAAAAACTTTGCCTCCCTCCCCTCTTCTTTTCCTCTTCCCGGGATTTTAACCGCGCTGCTTTTTCTTCTGCGTCGTCTTTGCTGCGAATTCTCCCGATGTATTAATTGATTCTAATTCACCGAGGTGTTGGCAACAGGTTACGAATTATATTCGTGGTCCCCGCATTGATTTGATGCGTTGCATGCGGTGAGCACGTAAACGCACCACCTGAAGGTGAAGGAAGAAAATAAAACTTTTACACGAACCTCCATTAGACGGACAAAAATACTTTGTTATTAAAAGGTTCTCACTTCAAACTTTAAAATCAAACTTTTAAAAAAGGGCGGTGGTGCAGAGGTTAGAGAAGGTGTGCTTGTGATTGAAAGGTTCGACTCCAATATATGGGAAAGGTGCACACCTGCCTCCACCCTTGTTTGCCCCACTCTGTGCCCTTGAGCAAGACCCTGGTGTAGTCTATGTGACACACACAGAGTACACCCACTAGAAAAGCTGAATAATTTCAGTATTCCCATTTAAAAGTGCCCAATGATGCATGACATCATTAGACACATGTCATTGATATGTTAAAGAGCATTAAACTCTTCCGCAACAATCTATCAGTATGCAGCGCTCGTTTATTGCATTCGCTCATCCAGCGAATTATTGTATAATTAATACTTCTGCACGTACTAGTTACTGAACATGTTTTGCTTTGATACCATTTTATAAATTCTACAACATGTTTTTAATACAAAACCAACTGCTGTGCAAAGTTTCTTGTTCATTTATTCAAATAGAAGCATCAGAGAAAACACGCTTAAAAAAATCCAAATAAATTGACGATTACATTGTACCAACCAGTGTACTTTGTTTTATAAGTACAGTATACTAAAACTAACTATACCGCAGTATACCCACAACAACAAAAGATAGACAGCGCTGCCCTTAACCCCCACCGTCTGCACCCCGGGGTGCCCTAGATGGCAGCTCTCTGCTCCACACAGAGGGCTGTGGTTGCATCAGGACCACGGCGTGAAAACAATCGCCAAGTCTTCATGCAAGTTCTCTGTGTTGACCCCTGAGGAAGGGAGCAGCCGAAAGAAGAACAATAAATCCTGATGCGTATTAATGACATGCAGGTATGATTCCAATGTCAACAAGCACTCTGCTGAACCCACGTGGAGGCCTGAGCCATGTTGACCTACATTAATCTGGCTGTAGTAGTCCCTCGCTACTTCGCACTTCGACTTCCGTGGACTCGCTCGTTCGCAGTTTTTCAACGTAAGATTGTACATGACACACGACTGTCAACTTTAATATTACTCACGTGATTGGGACGGTACAAGATAAAAAAGTTAACGAAAACAAACATTCTGACAGGCACCGCCAGAGTTTTCTTTCAGTAAGTCTGCACTGTAACGCCAGTCAAAAGAACTACACTACCCAGAAGCCAAAGGTGCTTCTGGCCGCTGCTTTCTGCCGAAATAGAGGGAAAGTTTTGCAACGCAAATCTGTGCTATCTATGAAGCTCACAGAACTGGCAGGAAAGTTGCAAATAATCCTCCTGAAGCTCAATCATCCACGTGCACCTGAACCTGGACGTGGCGGTGGACTTCGTCTCTGCAGAACCAGAACCGAGCTTCTGTTCTGCAGAGCTGGTGAGTAAAACTTTGCAGTACCGTGTGGTACATAATATCCGTATGTTGTTAAAATGATGTAGGTTTAAGAGTTTAGAACAGTCCGAGTGTGGGGAGGATTTATAAAGCCTTAAAATATATATTTATCATTTCTTCTTCGTGGTTTTTCACCTATCATGGTGGTGTTTGGAACGAAGCCCCCGTGATAATCAAGGGACCACTGTATAGGTAAAATAATAAGCCTAAAAACATAAGTGTGAATTTCACACTAAATGCAACGTAAGAGACAAAGACGAAGTCAGGCAGCTGTCTAGAATAATTATAAGCAGGACACCAAAAAGACAGAGCTGAACTTCTGCTAGTTTACTATTATAT